TGCCTCACTTCTCTCTCACACTCACTTTCCTCCACATCAGCTAAAAAAAGGCTCTAGGATGTCTGCTCGATTTAGTACTGTCTCAGATTAAACTCTACAGTTCATGTCTGCTGCGTCCTGCCTGGCTACACTCTTAAGTCTGGAAGTGAGTGTTGTTATCGCCTCGTTGCATGCACAATAATGTTGAGCTTGTTTTGTTTTGGTTGCATATAGTCACAGTGGGTCTGTCAAGTTTTAACCTATTTTATTTATTCAGTACTAATGAAATGTTTGCTTGCAGTCATTGAGGACATCCTAAATTTGGACCTGTTGGTGTTTACCTTAGCATTTAATCGTAGCACTTCTCTGATCCACAGTTGGTCAAAACCATAAGTACAGACTCAAGTCAATACATTGAAGGCCATTAATATTTGGCATCTCACTTATCAAGATGCAACAAAATAACATGTACTATTTACCATTAAAAAAAGCTTTTGGCAGCATTTTGACTTGAGGCTTCACCGCTTTTCTTAGCAGAAAAGGCAGAGCAAATTTAATACATGTCTCAAATGGGAGAATGTGTCGACAAGACAAATATTAGCTCTGCACTCCACAAATCTGATCTTATGTAGAAGGAGTAGAAAAGAAGCCACTGTTAAACAAAACCATTAAAAGTCTCATTCAGAGTTTGCAATTGTTGAAAGAAAGCCAGAAAAGATCCTATTTCCAAGCATTGCTTGGGAATAGCTCCTGCATTGCTTGTTTGCCCCAAGCTATGCAGGAACACATGTGAAAGACGGCAAGCTTGTCAGATGCCACTATAATTAAGCTGTTTGGTCTATATGTGAAACCCTCTGTGTCACAGAAAGATAACCTTCCAAATTATTCTGAACACACAAGGCCTAGAATGAAATGTAGCGACGGTAGCATCCTGCTGTGTAGATATTATTCTGCACCAAAGGCAGGAAGCTGGTCAGTGTAGATGGGAAGATAGATCGAGATACATAGAAGGCAATGTTGGAAGAAAACCTGTTGGCAGCTGCAAAATATGTGAAAAAGGAGAAAAATGTCAATAGGTATGAAGATTTTTGCAAGGCAGTGCACATTTTGTATAGATATGTAACATCTTTGAAAACCTTTTACATTGTACAAGTCTTGTGATTGCCTGTGTCTTATTAAATCTTCAACCACCAAGATGAAGGTATTTATTATTTGAAAGAGGAGGGGTTTTTTTCAAACTGGTACACAAAGACAGACTTGTAGGGTCTTCTTTCTTAGCTTTATTCCCAAAACCAGACAATGCTTAAAAGTGCAGCTGAGAATGCTTTATAAAGTACATTTAAAGGCGCAGTGGTGACACAAATGCCTTCAGACACCCACAAAGTAGTAATTATTACAATTTGTTTTCACACCTTCCCCAGCCTTCAGTCACGCACTGAAGTGCTAAAGCAGAGGCGTGGCCCCAGTAGGGAAAATGGATGCTGCTCTCATTCATCACTCATCAAGTGGTGTAAAAGTTGGGACATGTGTGACTGCAGACATGAAGGCCATGTTTGCACATTTCTCTGTGCACAAAGAAATGTTGGCCAAAATTGATGTCATATGTTAAGCAAAAACACACAGTTCATCAATTAATACTGGTAGAAAAAAAAATGCATGCAACTGACCCATCTTTTTCCATTGGTCAAATGCCATTATCCATGTATGGTGTTTTTTTTTTTTTTTCTTTTTCCTTTCATCTACTCATTCTGTGCTGTTTTCTTTTACTTTGCCAACATGAAAATTCACAAATTCTAAATGAACTTCAAACCTCCGCTACATCTGTTGACTGTGCGTGGGAGAAAAAGGTAAAACAGGGGAGCGAGAGGGCACAGGCTGCACTGATGTTCGGTGTTACCCTGAGCTGTCACTTCTTCCATGACACTTAGAGTCAGAATGCACTGTTGACAATTTTCTTAAAGCCTTTATTATATTCACTGCTTTGGTTCTTGTTTGCTGGCCCAGTTAAAGCACGTAAATAAAACCGATAGATAGATAGATAGATAGATAGATAGATAGATAGGTGGATGTCGGAGGGGGGGGTTTGATGCTTTATCTTCTCACAAAAGTAATATGACAGTTTCTATTTTTAGATTACATGCCAGAATATAAGAAGAAGCAAGTGAGAACGAGTATCATTTGACAGCAGAACTTGTGAAAGATGCATCTGTCTAATACACACTGGACTGCCTCTACTGCCTTAGGAAACAATCCCTTCAAACAAGCCTTTGAGCTTTCTTGGAAAAGGGAAGGGAGGGGGCTGGCACTTTCTCTGTCTTGTCATCTCGCTGCTTCAGCATCCAGAGATAAAGACAAGCATGCAGAGAGACTTTGTTTTCAGTGTTAACTTCATCCTCATTTGTAAAAAGTACTTAGTTCTTTTGTCAGGAGAAGAAGCGCAGCCTTCTCCCAGTGGGACTGTTTCACCCTCGGTGTGCTTCGTTGTTATTTGCTAAAAGGAATTGGGGTATGTTGCTGCTGAAATTCTGTAAACCTTTTTATTTTTTAGAGTACTGACAGATTGATTGATGAGTTGTGTGCTCTTGTGGTAAAATGATGAAAACTCCTACCAAGGAGTTAATAGTTTAAATACTATCATGTTGTCTGAAAACATAAGAGCGTAACATTTTGCCCTCCAAGGCTGGCCTTGTGTGAACGAATAAAGGCGATGAACAGAGGCAGTGTTTCTGTGTGAAAGGGCAAAATGACAATTAACCGAGAAGTTGAATGAGAGGACAGGAAAGGTTGCAAGGTCAGGCCTCCCTGCAGTTTGACGTCAGACTAATCCGCTGTTGGGTTTTTGACCCTTGTCCCTGGGCTGTGCCTTTACAAATAATTCATGTGCCTGCAGACAGGTCCATGTTAAACCAGCATGTGGCAACAACAAAGAAACACTGAAATGTTGGTCTTAAACTCAAGCATGGAATAGTTACGTGGGGTTTAAAGTAAATAATAAGATGTCAAAGTCAGGAAATCGGCGCCAGAAATCACTTTTGTAAAATGACTGAAGCTGAAGCAGTAGGTAAACTGTAAACTGATGATGGGACCTTCCACATGGTACACATCGATGAACATTTGCTGTTATGGCTATTTTAGGTTGGTCTCTGTTCTATTGGTCTACGGCCCAATGGAAATGCCCCATGTTGTTAGTACTCCAGTAAACAGTAGCAGTATTATAAGCTGAGGTTTTAATTTATTTTTGTTTTTTATGCTTTTTGCTTTTCAATGAGAAAATCGTTACTAGGTTTGGTTACATTATATTGTATGCTGAAGTACAACAGCAGCTCTGTAATTGTTTTTCAAGCCTGTGTTGCAACAAGAACAGTGTAAATGTACATCTGCACGTCTATATTTGATACTTTCATTTCATATTTTATGCAAACGGTATTATGTTATCTTCGCGGAAGATTGACAGTGTTTCATGTTTTTGTTGTGACGTACAAATACATTGTATTGAACATATTTAAAACATTTTTAATGAACTAAATCAAGTTATGTGCATAGCTGTTAACTAAAACATAATTGTAAATAGTCCTAACAGGCTAAAATAGTTTAGAAACATCCAGTATAAAAATGCAGAGAGCCTTGAGGCTCTGGTAGCTGTTGAAGGTATTATTCACATCAACAGAGCAGAAAGTAATTGCATGGAGCTAATATCAATAAAAAAAACAGGAATAATTCAGTCACTGATGTATAGTTATTGATCCAGACAGTTGTCGAATCCTCCGCTTCTGTCTTTTGGAGTTTCTGAATTAGTGATTCAGGCTACAACAGATCAACCCCCAGTGTATTAAACACATTAGGGGCATCTGTTAACATGATCCTCGTAGTGCTGCCTCGTCATTACATCATTACACTGCTGTCACCAGCGTGGATGTTTGCTGCAAAGTGAAATGGGTCCATGCTTTTGTCATGGATCCAGCTGAAATCAAGCCTCATAGAACCAAGTGGTATTTTTTAAAACTATTGCCAAATTTTGGTGAGCTTGTGCAAATTTTAGCCTCAGTTTCCCAATCCTAGCTGACAGGAGGGAACAGTCAGTGCGGTCTACCCCGGCTGCCATCTGCTTTGTGGTTCTATTAGGCTGACAAGTCAGAGAGAAAAGACTCAAATGTACAAACTACACAGGAACTCTGTTCATTTCCTTTAATGGAGAAACGGGTCAGCGCACAGATAAATTGTCCAACAAGGTGGAATAATCCACAAATCTTTGAGGCAAAAGGTGTCACAGGATGGATGGTGTATAATCTGCAGACAGGTTAAAAACCCAGAAAACTGAAACCATGTCATATACTACAGGTTAGCAGAAACAAAGCCTTTTAGACTACAGACAAAGACAACACAATGTACAGGCAAAGATAACTTAACTACACGTAGGAAGAGGACAAGAAAACTCAGAAGGTGGGATACCAGCTAGGGCAGAAAATGGAGGAGTGTAGAATGAGAAACATCATTACCAACATAAAATAGGAGTAAATAAATCAGTCAATCAGGAGTAACAGGTACATAAAATCTAAAAATTAATCTGAGAAAACAACTTTATGCTTATCACAGGTTTGATTATATGTGCTTTCATAGATAGTATTACTTATAACGTTTTTTTTTATGTAACAAATTATTTGAGCTACTGTTATCTCTCTGTCTTTTCAAACCAGTCTATCCATCCCCCTATCACCTCTAACATCAACAAGGCATTTTCATTTACTAGAATGCTGCTTACTTAATAATATTGAAAGAGATCCTTGTGCATAAAATAGATCAGCAGTTTGTGAAATACTGAGACCAGCTGACACCAACAACCTGGCACCTTAATGAGGGATATTGAACCCATTATAATGGCAAGTTTTTTCCTTGAACAAAGAGCTTAAAGTCAGGACTTGTCAATGCGTTTGATCAACCCCTGCAACTTTTCAAACACATTTAAGCATAAATAGATGTTTTATGTTGACAGCCAACATACTTTTTGTGTCACCGTTCTGCAGCTCCCGTGTTTTACTTTGGAGAGGTCCAGTATCATGTGGATGAAAGTGACGGCTATGTGGAGGTCAAAGTATGGAGGACAGGAACCGATCTGTCCAAAACGGGGACTGTGACAGTCCGTTCTCGGAAGGTGGAGCGTGCCTCTGCTGAAGGCAGGTTTCCAATCAAATATTGGTTTTAAATATTTTGAAAATAATTAAATGCATCACTAATCCTCATGTCTTTATTCTATATGTCTCCTCAACAAAATCCCTTTTTTGTCTCTCTGTCCTATTTGCAGCTGGTGTTGACTATGTGGGCATAAGTCATATCTTGGACTTTGCCCCAGGTGTCAGCATGCAGACATTTAAGGTCACCATTTTGGATGATATGGGACAACCAGAGCTGGAAGGGGCCGAGAGCTTTGAGTTGGTGCTGAGAATGCCAGTGAATGGTATTCTAGGAGAACCTAGAAAAGCCACAGTCTTCATCAATGACTCACAGTCTGACTGTAAGTAATAACAATTTACCTTTACATATTCGCTTCTGTTTATAGCTTTCAACATGAAATAAACCTACTGTATGATAAGCATAGACTACATAAGGTTACAGTCCTGGCCTCGTGATTCATGATGTCTATATTTATTGAATAATTCTCTGTCAAGCCCTTCAGAAAAGTATCTTGATTTCTCTGGTTTTAACACACCAATACGCGCAATGATAATAATAACACATCAATACTATGTTACATGTTATTGTTTTCATTCATTGCATTGTTGTCATATATAGGTCATCCTTGATGCAATGGAAATTTTATCATTGTTCATTTCATTTGATCGCCAGTGCCGAAGGTCCATTTTCGTGAACCGGTTTACAGCGGAGAGGAGAGTGATGGTCAGATAGCAGCAACAGTGTACCGCAGTGGTGACATCTGGCACAAATCCTCTGTTCGCTGTTACTCCCGTCAGGGCACCGCACAAGTTGCCTCTGACTTCGAGGAGCGTCCCAACACAGATGCTTCTATCATCACTTTTTCACCAGGTATATTTTATCAAACATTTATGGGTTTTTTTGTTTGTTTTTTTTTTGTATATTTTAAATCGTAATTTTATGTTGAGTTAATGTTAACATTTAAAAGAATGTTATTGCTTTAGAGCAGTGGTTTCTAATCTCTTTTAGAAAGACCCCACTCTTTGCATAGACAGTATGCAGTCCTTATATTGTGCTCACATGCATACCCTATGTCTGTGCTTGTGCACATATGTCCATGAAGACCATAAAGAAAACCTTCCTTAATAATTTATTTTTTGGACAATTTTACAAAAACATTCAGCTTTTTGTACTTCTGTGCAGGAGTAAAAAAAAGAATAACTCCAATTTTAGTTCTCCAAAGACTTCTTTAAAAATTCTGCTATTCCTCTGAGTCAGTTTTTAAATCATTTGGGAACCACTGCTTTGGAGAACAGTCAAATTTGTTTAATCTCTGCTTTTAACTTAAGGCTTTAATTGTTTTGTGTCAACGATTTTCCCCCTCACATTAGGTGAGGTGGAGAAGCCGTGTATCCTGTCACTGGTTGATGATGCATTGTACGAGGAGGTTGAAGAGCTCAGGCTGGTCTTGGGGACACCAAAGAGCAGCTCACAGTTTGGCGCATCAGTTGGATCTCTTAATGAGGCTCTGCTTAAAATAAAGGACACAGCTGACAGTAAGTGAGATAAAGAACAAACTATTGGTCAGATATTTCAGGCTGCGGTACTGAATAGGAAGTTTTCTATAATCTGGCCGTTTTAAGATTTTATTTTGCTGTACTTGCCATCTTTTTATTTTCCAGAACCAATCATTCGGTTTGCAGAAACCAAGTTCAACATTAATGAACCGAAGGAAACTGGGACTGTGGCAACTGTGAAGATCCCTGTGGTACGAGTCGGCGACACATCAAAAGTCTCAGTGGTTCGGGTTCATACCAAAGATGGGTCAGCCGTCTCAGGAATAGATTATTACCCCGTGTCTCAAGGTGAACTTTATAAACACCTTAGAAGTTGTTGTAGAAGTTGTTGTAGGTTCTGTTGGACTTCAGCGCAGCTTTCGACACTGTTGACCGTGATATTTTACTGAATCGACTGGAGAGNTCCTGTTTATGCACAGATTCTCCATAGGTACTCCAGCTTCTTCCAACAGTTAAGTTAATTGGATGCTGTTCATTTCCCTTTTTAGTGAGTTTGAATGGTTGTTTCTCTTATGTGTCTCTGTGTTGCCCTGTGATAGACTAAGTGACAGGGCTCTGAGTGTATCTGCCCAAAGACCACTGGAGAAAGGCACCTATTAATGACGAATTAGGATATCATCAGGTTTGTCCATTGGGGTTACACCTCCAGTTTATCTAACACTGTTTTGTCTTTGGCCGATTTTTGTCTATGAACTACCAGGCTCTGCAGAACTTTTATTCAATTAAAAAATGTTAGATTTTTCATAAGGCAGTTCCTTCTTGCTTGCCCAGTCCATTCAGGTCCTCCCTCAGGCCCTAATTATGACAATTCAGTTATGGACTTCTTATGGAGGATGGTTCCTCACTCGTCTTTTGCTAGAGGATGTGGTTTAAATTTATTTGAGACCAACTAAATGTTTCCCCTGTAAACTTTCTTTCTTAATGTTCAGCATGCCATATCTTAGTGATGTTGTGAATTACATTTAAGGCAGTGTTAAATTTGCTTTGCAACTTTTTTATTTATTTACATGTATTTTAGTCTGTTTAGAAAATGCACTGCTAATATATCAGCCGTATGGTTTACTAATACACACCCTCCCCGGTAGTTTCTAGATTTCTGAAAATCCTTTTCAGAAAAAAATGAAGCCTTGGTTTCAAAACTGTTGACAGTTTCCCTTTAAGAATAATCCCAGGCTTCCTATTTAATGAGCTTATCAAGCTGTTTGTGTAACAATATTATGTCAGGGAGAGTTCATTCAGGCAAACTGATTAAAAAACAAAAGTATTACAACTAAGAATTCCTTTATAGGGATTCAACTTTTTTTTTCTGTTCAAGCATCTGGGGCAAGTTAACAAAAAATCTGACACAATTTTGAATGTTAGTAAACTGACAGTATTAAGGCAGCCTTGGTGCATAGTTCAAAGAAATGCAAATGTGTTTGCAAAAGCCCAACTCCTGAGAGAGATGATATGTCAATTTCTGTCTCCCGGAGGATAATACGGCACCTGACAGCTCTCTAAAACCTCTACGCAGGCAGACCAATGGCAGCATGTTTCTCACTAACATCCTTGATTTTTCCAAGGAAAATGTGAAAACAAATGGTACAACAGCATGTGTTTGTTAATGTCTGCATGCCTGTTTATCTGACTCTGTCTGCCCACAATAAGTTATTTTTAGACTTTAATCGCTGCATCAAAAGAAAATGGTGTGAAAACCGCAAAAACGGAGAAAATTCTCAAGTGACTGTCGCTGCTCTCTCACACTCATTTTTTTTTTCTTCCCCTGGTCAAAGTCAACTATTTCGTTCTCCTTTCCATCTATTTCTTCTACACTGCCTGCCTCACTTCTCTCTCACACTCACTTTCCTCCACATCAGCTAAAAAAAGGCTCTAGGATGTCTGCTCGATTTAGTACTGTCTCAGATTAAACTCTACAGTTCATGTCTGCTGCGTCCTGCCTGGCTACACTCTTAAGTCTGGAAGTGAGTGTTGTTATCGCCTCGTTGCATGCACAATAATGTTGAGCTTGTTTTGTTTTGGTTGCATATAGTCACAGTGGGTCTGTCAAGTTTTAACCTATTTTATTTATTCAGTACTAATGAAATGTTTGCTTGCAGTCATTGAGGACATCCTAAATTTGGACCTGTTGGTGTTTACCTTAGCATTTAATCGTAGCACTTCTCTGATCCACAGTTGGTCAAAACCATAAGTACAGACTCAAGTCAATACATTGAAGGCCATTAATATTTGGCATCTCACTTATCAAGATGCAACAAAATAACATGTACTATTTACCATTAAAAAAAGCTTTTGGCAGCATTTTGACTTGAGGCTTCACCGCTTTTCTTAGCAGAAAAGGCAGAGCAAATTTAATACATGTCTCAAATGGGAGAATGTGTCGACAAGACAAATATTAGCTCTGCACTCCACAAATCTGATCTTATGTAGAAGGAGTAGAAAAGAAGCCACTGTTAAACAAAACCATTAAAAGTCTCATTCAGAGTTTGCAATTGTTGAAAGAAAGCCAGAAAAGATCCTATTTCCAAGCATTGCTTGGGAATAGCTCCTGCATTGCTTGTTTGCCCCAAGCTATGCAGGAACACATGTGAAAGACGGCAAGCTTGTCAGATGCCACTATAATTAAGCTGTTTGGTCTATATGTGAAACCCTCTGTGTCACAGAAAGATAACCTTCCAAATTATTCTGAACACACAAGGCCTAGAATGAAATGTAGCGACGGTAGCATCCTGCTGTGTAGATATTATTCTGCACCAAAGGCAGGAAGCTGGTCAGTGTAGATGGGAAGATAGATCGAGATACATAGAAGGCAATGTTGGAAGAAAACCTGTTGGCAGCTGCAAAATATGTGAAAAAGGAGAAAAATGTCAATAGGTATGAAGATTTTTGCAAGGCAGTGCACATTTTGTATAGATATGTAACATCTTTGAAAACCTTTTACATTGTACAAGTCTTGTGATTGCCTGTGTCTTATTAAATCTTCAACCACCAAGATGAAGGTATTTATTATTTGAAAGAGGAGGGGTTTTTTTCAAACTGGTACACAAAGACAGACTTGTAGGGTCTTCTTTCTTAGCTTTATTCCCAAAACCAGACAATGCTTAAAAGTGCAGCTGAGAATGCTTTATAAAGTACATTTAAAGGCGCAGTGGTGACACAAATGCCTTCAGACACCCACAAAGTAGTAATTATTACAATTTGTTTTCACACCTTCCCCAGCCTTCAGTCACGCACTGAAGTGCTAAAGCAGAGGCGTGGCCCCAGTAGGGAAAATGGATGCTGCTCTCATTCATCACTCATCAAGTGGTGTAAAAGTTGGGACATGTGTGACTGCAGACATGAAGGCCATGTTTGCACATTTCTCTGTGCACAAAGAAATGTTGGCCAAAATTGATGTCATATGTTAAGCAAAAACACACAGTTCATCAATTAATACTGGTAGAAAAAAAAATGCATGCAACTGACCCATCTTTTTCCATTGGTCAAATGCCATTATCCATGTATGGTGTTTTTTTTTTTTTTCTTTTTCCTCTCATCTACTCATTCTGTGCTGTTTTCTTTTACTTTGCCAACATGAAAATTCACAAATTCTAAATGAACTTCAAACCTCCGCTACATCTGTTGACTGTGCGTGGGAGAAAAAGGTAAAACAGGGGAGCGAGAGGGCACAGGCTGCACTGATGTTCGGTGTTACCCTGAGCTGTCACTTCTTCCATGACACTTAGAGTCAGAATGCACTGTTGACAATTTTCTTAAAGCCTTTATTATATTCACTGCTTTGGTTCTTGTTTGCTGGCCCAGTTAAAGCACGTAAATAAAACCGATAGATAGATAGATAGATAGATAGATAGATAGATAGGTGGATGTCGGAGGGGGGGGTTTGATGCTTTATCTTCTCACAAAAGTAATATGACAGTTTCTATTTTTAGATTACATGCCAGAATATAAGAAGAAGCAAGTGAGAACGAGTATCATTTGACAGCAGAACTTGTGAAAGATGCATCTGTCTAATACACACTGGACTGCCTCTACTGCCTTAGGAAACAATCCCTTCAAACAAGCCTTTGAGCTTTCTTGGAAAAGGGAAGGGAGGGGGCTGGCACTTTCTCTGTCTTGTCATCTCGCTGCTTCAGCATCCAGAGATAAAGACAAGCATGCAGAGAGACTTTGTTTTCAGTGTTAACTTCATCCTCATTTGTAAAAAGTACTTAGTTCTTTTGTCAGGAGAAGAAGCGCAGCCTTCTCCCAGTGGGACTGTTTCACCCTCGGTGTGCTTCGTTGTTATTTGCTAAAAGGAATTGGGGTATGTTGCTGCTGAAATTCTGTAAACCTTTTTATTTTTTAGAGTACTGACAGATTGATTGATGAGTTGTGTGCTCTTGTGGTAAAATGATGAAAACTCCTACCAAGGAGTTAATAGTTTAAATACTATCATGTTGTCTGAAAACATAAGAGCGTAACATTTTGCCCTCCAAGGCTGGCCTTGTGTGAACGAATAAAGGCGATGAACAGAGGCAGTGTTTCTGTGTGAAAGGGCAAAATGACAATTAACCGAGAAGTTGAATGAGAGGACAGGAAAGGTTGCAAGGTCAGGCCTCCCTGCAGTTTGACGTCAGACTAATCCGCTGTTGGGTTTTTGACCCTTGTCCCTGGGCTGTGCCTTTACAAATAATTCATGTGCCTGCAGACAGGTCCATGTTAAACCAGCATGTGGCAACAACAAAGAAACACTGAAATGTTGGTCTTAAACTCAAGCATGGAATAGTTACGTGGGGTTTAAAGTAAATAATAAGATGTCAAAGTCAGGAAATCGGCGCCAGAAATCACTTTTGTAAAATGACTGAAGCTGAAGCAGTAGGTAAACTGTAAACTGATGATGGGACCTTCCACATGGTACACATCGATGAACATTTGCTGTTATGGCTATTTTAGGTTGGTCTCTGTTCTATTGGTCTACGGCCCAATGGAAATGCCCCATGTTGTTAGTACTCCAGTAAACAGTAGCAGTATTATAAGCTGAGGTTTTAATTTATTTTTGTTTTTTATGCTTTTTGCTTTTCAATGAGAAAATCGTTACTAGGTTTGGTTACATTATATTGTATGCTGAAGTACAACAGCAGCTCTGTAATTGTTTTTCAAGCCTGTGTTGCAACAAGAACAGTGTAAATGTACATCTGCACGTCTATATTTGATACTTTCATTTCATATTTTATGCAAACGGTATTATGTTATCTTCGCGGAAGATTGACAGTGTTTCATGTTTTTGTTGTGACGTACAAATACATTGTATTGAACATATTTAAAACATTTTTAATGAACTAAATCAAGTTATGTGCATAGCTGTTAACTAAAACATAATTGTAAATAGTCCTAACAGGCTAAAATAGTTTAGAAACATCCAGTATAAAAATGCAGAGAGCCTTGAGGCTCTGGTAGCTGTTGAAGGTATTATTCACATCAACAGAGCAGAAAGTAATTGCATGGAGCTAATATCAATAAAAAAAACAGGAATAATTCAGTCACTGATGTATAGTTATTGATCCAGACAGTTGTCGAATCCTCCGCTTCTGTCTTTTGGAGTTTCTGAATTAGTGATTCAGGCTACAACAGATCAACCCCCAGTGTATTAAACACATTAGGGGCATCTGTTAACATGATCCTCGTAGTGCTGCCTCGTCATTACATCATTACACTGCTGTCACCAGCGTGGATGTTTGCTGCAAAGTGAAATGGGTCCATGCTTTTGTCATGGATCCAGCTGAAATCAAGCCTCATAGAACCAAGTGGTATTTTTTAAAACTATTGCCAAATTTTGGTGAGCTTGTGCAAATTTTAGCCTCAGTTTCCCAATCCTAGCTGACAGGAGGGAACAGTCAGTGCGGTCTACCCCGGCTGCCATCTGCTTTGTGGTTCTATTAGGCTGACAAGTCAGAGAGAAAAGACTCAAATGTACAAACTACACAGGAACTCTGTTCATTTCCTTTAATGGAGAAACGGGTCAGCGCACAGATAAATTGTCCAACAAGGTGGAATAATCCACAAATCTTTGAGGCAAAAGGTGTCACAGGATGGATGGTGTATAATCTGCAGACAGGTTAAAAACCCAGAAAACTGAAACCATGTCATATACTACAGGTTAGCAGAAACAAAGCCTTTTAGACTACAGACAAAGACAACACAATGTACAGGCAAAGATAACTTAACTACACGTAGGAAGAGGACAAGAAAACTCAGAAGGTGGGATACCAGCTAGGGCAGAAAATGGAGGAGTGTAGAATGAGAAACATCATTACCAACATAAAATAGGAGTAAATAAATCAGTCAATCAGGAGTAACAGGTACATAAAATCTAAAAATTAATCTGAGAAAACAACTTTATGCTTATCACAGGTTTGATTATATGTGCTTTCATAGATAGTATTACTTATAACGTTTTTTTTTATGTAACAAATTATTTGAGCTACTGTTATCTCTCTGTCTTTTCAAACCAGTCTATCCATCCCCCTATCACCTCTAACATCAACAAGGCATTTTCATTTACTAGAATGCTGCTTACTTAATAATATTGAAAGAGATCCTTGTGCATAAAATAGATCAGCAGTTTGTGAAATACTGAGACCAGCTGACACCAACAACCTGGCACCTTAATGAGGGATATTGAACCCATTATAATGGCAAGTTTTTTCCTTGAACAAAGAGCTTAAAGTCAGGACTTGTCAATGCGTTTGATCAACCCCTGCAACTTTTCAAACACATTTAAGCATAAATAGATGTTTTATGTTGACAGCCAACATACTTTTTGTGTCACCGTTCTGCAGCTCCCGTGTTTTACTTTGGAGAGGTCCAGTATCATGTGGATGAAAGTGACGGCTATGTGGAGGTCAAAGTATGGAGGACAGGAACCGATCTGTCCAAAACGGGGACTGTGACAGTCCGTTCTCGGAAGGTGGAGCGTGCCTCTGCTGAAGGCAGGTTTCCAATCAAATATTGGTTTTAAATATTTTGAAAATAATTAAATGCATCACTAATCCTCATGTCTTTATTCTATATGTCTCCTCAACAAAATCCCTTTTTTGTCTCTCTGTCCTATTTGCAGCTGGTGTTGACTATGTGGGCATAAGTCATATCTTGGACTTTGCCCCAGGTGTCAGCATGCAGACATTTAAGGTCACCATTTTGGATGATATGGGACAACCAGAGCTGGAAGGGGCCGAGAGCTTTGAGTTGGTGCTGAGAATGCCAGTGAATGGTATTCTAGGAGAACCTAGAAAAGCCACAGTCTTCATCAATGACTCACAGTCTGACTGTAAGTAATAACAATTTACCTTTACATATTCGCTTCTGTTTATAGCTTTCAACATGAAATAAACCTACTGTATGATAAGCATAGACTACATAAGGTTACAGTCCTGGCCTCGTGATTCATGATGTCTATATTTATTGAATAATTCTCTGTCAAGCCCTTCAGAAAAGTATCTTGATTTCTCTGGTTTTAACACACCAATACGCGCAATGATAATAATAACACATCAATACTATGTTACATGTTATTGTTTTCATTCATTGCATTGTTGTCATATATAGGTCATCCTTGATGCAATGGAAATTTTATCATTGTTCATTTCATTTGATCGCCAGTGCCGAAGGTCCATTTTCGTGAACCGGTTTACAGCGGAGAGGAGAGTGATGGTCAGATAGCAGCAACAGTGTACCGCAGTGGTGACATCTGGCACAAATCCTCTGTTCGCTGTTACTCCCGTCAGGGCACCGCACAAGTTGCCTCTGACTTCGAGGAGCGTCCCAACACAGATGCTTCTATCATCACTTTTTCACCAGGTATATTTTATCAAACATTTATGGGTTTTTTTGTTTGTTTTTTTTTTGTATATTTTAAATCGTAATTTTATGTTGAGTTAATGTTAACATTTAAAAGAATGTTATTGCTTTAGAGCAGTGGTTTCTAATCTCTTTTAGAAAGACCCCACTCTTTGCATAGACAGTATGCAGTCCTTATATTGTGCTCACATGCATACCCTATGTCTGTGCTTGTGCACATATGTCCATGAAGACCATAAAGAAAACCTTCCTTAATAATTTATTTTTTGGACAATTTTACAAAAACATTCAGCTTTTTGTACTTCTGTGCAGGAGTAAAAAAAAGAATAACTCCAATTTTAGTTCTCCAAAGACTTCTTTAAAAATTCTGCTATTCCTCTGAGTCAGTTTTTAAATCATTTGGGAACCACTGCTTTGGAGAACAGTCAAATTTGTTTAATCTCTGCTTTTAACTTAAGGCTTTAATTGTTTTGTGTCAACGATTTTCCCCCTCACATTAGGTGAGGTGGAGAAGCCGTGTATCCTGTCACTGGTTGATGATGCATTGTACGAGGAGGTTGAAGAGCTCAGGCTGGTCTTGGGGACACCAAAGAGCAGCTCACAGTTTGGCGCATCAGTTGGATCTCTTAATGAGGCTCTGCTTAAAATAAAGGACACAGCTGACAGTAAGTGAGATAAAGAACAAACTATTGGTCAGATATTTCAGGCTGCGGTACTGAATAGGAAGTTTTCTATAATCTGGCCGTTTTAAGATTTTATTTTGCTGTACTTGCCATCTTTTTATTTTCCAGAACCAATCATTCGGTTTGCAGAAACCAAGTTCAACATTAATGAACCGAAGGAAACTGGGACTGTGGCAACTGTGAAGATCCCTGTGGTACGAGTCGGCGACACATCAAAAGTCTCAGTGGTTCGGGTTCATACCAAAGATGGGTCAGCCGTCTCAGGAATAGATTATTACCCCGTGTCTCAAGGTGAACTTTATAAACACCTTAGAAGTTGTTGTAGAAGTTGTTGTAGGTTCTGTTGGACTTCAGCGCAGCTTTCGACACTGTTGACCGTGATATTTTACTGAATCGACTGGAGAG